TGGCTATTATCCACCTACCACCACACACAGGTAAGCAGTGGGGTGGGTGTGTTGATTAAGAGCAGAACCCAACAGTGTAGGAATTCTTGGGCAACCAAAGCCCTAGGTGTGGGAGTAGGTCAGATGACTCTAGGTAGAATGCAGGACAAGAACGAAAATAAAAAGTGCAGCAGCTGCAGAACTGAGCATTTACTAAGTGCAAGGTGTCAGGCCAATGATTTACACAGTATCTCGTTTGCTCCTGGCAACAACTCTATGAAGCTGGTTAGATTATCATCTCGGTTTTGTAAAGAAGGCAACAGAGGTTCATAAAGATTTGAACCCAGCTCTGCCTGTCTCAAAACATTTGCTTCCGTCCATAGGACTGAGAGTAAAACAGGAGTGGGAGCAGACACACAGCTGCCCCAAAGAACTGTGCTAAAGGCAGGCAACGAATACCCTTCCTGGTCGTCAGCCAGGCAGGGCAGGCGCTCTATGAATGCTCGCCCACAAGGTGGATCGCAGTCACGAAGAGACCCAAGCCGACACCTCCTTCCCAGCGTCTCCCACGGATCCGCAAGGCTCCGCGGGCCCCAGGACCGGGCCTCCGCAGCCCAGCCTGCTCAGGTCCTGCCGACGATGCGGTGGGGTTGGGTGGGGGAGGCTACCCGGAGGCGCAGGGAGCAATCTCTGCATGCAAAACAAAGCAGTCCGCAGCTGCCTTCGACCGCGAGCTCGGTTAGCGGTCCGGGCGTTTCCCGAGGGTCGCAGTCCCTCCCTGGGGGGCTCGGCCGCACGCCCGGCGCCCCCCACCGGGCTTCCTGGCGATCAGGTGGGTGCTGCTAGAAAACTTGCAGAGGCTGGAGCTGAGAAAAGGCGGGCAAAGTTCCTTTTGATAAGTTATGAATGGGGAGAAAGTGTTTGTACAACTCATTGTTAAAACCTTCGGGCTCCAGCCTCGCCCGGCGCCGGGCCAATGGGAGCCGGGAGGCTCTTTTGAAATCGCTCCAGCCTCGGCCAATCGGCGTGCGGGGACGCAGCGCCGCGCCGCGCCGGCCAATGAGCGCGGCGCTATGCTAAGGAGCCCGGGCCGGCCGCCCGACTGTCAGCGGGTTAAAGATGGAGCCGCGGGCGGGGGGCGCCACGAGGCGCGGGGCCGTCCGGACGGCGACCACGGGGCGGACGGCGGCCAGGGCTCCGTCCCCTGACCGGGCGTGTCCTGCCCGGGCCTGGGCGGAAGGGCGTCGGTCTGCGTGAGTAGCCGGGTCTGGGGAGGGGGCGTGGGCAGGACGGCCCTACCCGGCGGGACGAGCGGAGGGGCGCTGCCGGGACCCCGGAGCGCTCTCAGGGCAGGGCACTCCACAAGGGCGGGGAGCCCTCCATTCCTCTGTTTCGCTCTGGGTATCGGGACAGAGGAATCTGTTAGGCAGAACGCGACGCCCATGTAGGGGGCAAGGGGCCAGGGATGGGGCCCTGAGCTGGAAGGGGCCCATCGTCCTAGGGTGGGGCCACCCTTCTCCCCGAGCCGCTGGCTGAGTCGGGGCGCAGGATCGTCGGGCTGTACCCACCTGGCTCCGGGCGCCAGCGGGCTTTGGACTGCCGAGCGCGGGCCCTCTCCTTTGTGTCTGCGCCCTCTGCCCCATCTGGCCCGCCAGCTCCCGCTACGGGGTCGGAGCTACCCTCCGGTCTGGGGTTTCCCCTGTACCGCAATCCGGAGCGTGCCAGGGAAGGCCTGGGTGCTGTGAGGTTCTGAGGACCTCGAGGACTGCAGTTCTGCTGGGATCCCCTTCCCTGCCCCGATGGACTAGACAGGAGCTCTGGCCCCACCCACGCAGCTGCGGTTGAGCTTCCCAGCTGTGTGCGTAGTGGGGACGGTGGGGTCCCCCCTGCTGGCCGCAGGTGCTCTGACGAGGTTGCACTACTGTGCTCTGAGAAGCAGTGCAATGATATTGTCAAAGCATCTGAGACCAGCCTTGGGGACCTCCCTCCCCGCAACCCTCACCTCCTCCTCCCCAGGGGGAGGCCAGGCCCCTTGGACCTAGGGACCATCCCCTCCCCCTGCCCAATTCACTCCCTTCTCCATGGAAACTTGAGATTCTAGCCAGGCCTGGGCCTCTGGGGTCAGAGGGCATCCTTCCCCCGGACAGAGGCCCCTTCCAAGCATGCCTGCATTCCAGGTCTCAGATCCCCACAGGCCACCAAGGGGGAGGCACTGGCAGGCCTGCCCGACACTCTTTCCCTGTTGCACTACTGTGGGCCACTGGGAAGCAGTGCAATGATGAAAGGGCATCGGTCAGGCCCACTGGGAGGGGGGTGAGGGGGAAGAGGGTTTGCTGCCTCACTCTACCTCCTGGCTGAGAAAGTGGAGGTGCCCAGAGGGTAAGTGTGGGACCAGTTAGGCACCATGCAGAGCTGGACTGGACCCTCCAACAGAGGATCAGGGGGTGCAGAGGTGAGGGATCATCCTGGTCATGGCTGGGTAAGGTCAGGGGCAGAGCCCCTAGATTCAGAAAAGCTCTGGTTTGAAGGTCTTTCCACATTGGCCCCCTGGGGTAAGACTGTGGACTTCAGGCCTGGTCAGGGCCTTGTGGGGAAATGGAGGCCCACAGTTTTTACACGTGGGGGGGGGGTGTCTTTCCAGGCCTGGCTTGGACTGGGCCCTCCCTGAAGGCTTAAAGAGGGCTAGGCTCTGGGAAGAATGTTCCTCTGGGTGGGGCTTGGAGACACTGGTAAGGCAGGCCTTCCAGGATGCAGCCTTCACACGAGGCCATCAGTCACCTCCGTGCTCAGCAGGAGCAGTACTCACTGGGATGGATGGGTGGGCTTGGGACATGAAGCTTGCAGGCAGTGCCCACCAAACATGCCAGCTTGTTCTTTTACAGAAAGGTATGCCTGAAACCTACAGGAGCAGTTGTGAGGTATCTGGCTTGCCTGCCCTGCCAGCTGGAACTGGGGGGAGGTGGGAGGGGCTGGTTGGAGCAAAACTTCCAAGGAGCCGGACCCCATCATACTTGCAGGGCAACCTCTACCATTAGGACTTGACACAATGCAAAAGGTGTTTATGTGCCCAGTGATAGTCATTCAAACCTGTCACCTTGACAGGTGGCCTGGATTTCCAGATGGGCTTTTAGGAGTATCCCTCACCCTGGCTGGGTACATTGGGACACTGCCTCACTCTCACCCTGGAAGTAAAGGCCCTGGCACCCATGGGGGAGCTGAGGGGCAATGACATATGCTTCTCTGTTTCCTAGTCCTGACCCCTTGGGGTTCCTTGATCCCAGGGTCACCTGGCTCAGGCCCATCCTCCCTTTCCTTGGACTCTAGGCTGGAGTCCTCCTCACTCCTGTGCAGATTCTGTGCCCACTGGCCCCAGTCCCCCATGCATCTGTCACCTGCTTTTGCTGGGGGGAGGCATGTGAACTCAGGCCTCTGCTCAACTGTGCCCTCCTGGGGGAAGCCTTCCCTGGGCTCCACTGCATGGCATGTTCCTCCAGCAGAGTTTGTTAGATCAAAACTGCTCAACATGTGGCAGAGGTCCCCCTGAGATTGAGAGCCCAAGGGCAGAGACCACTGTCATTTTTCCTTTGTCATCAGTGCCTAGAAACAGGACAGGTACAGTACACTCCCCCAAACCTGCTGAAGATGTACCAGTATACTTTATAAAAATACAAATAAAAGTATAAAGTGTGAGGCATAGTTATTAACATAACATGATTGGAGGATAATTTGGGATCTGCTTGACTCTCAAAGAGTGCTTGTCCTATTTGAAAAAAGGTACATACTCCAAATTTTAAAGTTTCATTTTGCAAGTCACATGGGGCAGGAAGCGGAATGGAGATGTGATCCCAGGTGAATCGGACTGAGTCTGCCTGCACTTCCAGGCAAGATGCACAGAACAGACCCCTTGGCGGTCCCCACCTTGCTCTGTGACCTCCACTCAGGAGGAAGTGGATGCCCCTTCCTGTGTTGGGGAGAGCTGAGTCTAGACGGCTGCTGTTTGGTTGTAGGAGGTGAAAAACCTGGTCAGACTTTTCAGGTAACCTCCATGGGTCTCCGGAGGGGACAACAGGGAAGCAGTCTAGGGTGCAACCCCTCATTAGTGGCTGGGGTGGATGGTGGGGAGAAAAGCAGCATTCAGGGGGAAGAAGCTGTGTGCGAATCTAGATGTGTTTCAGGATGAGATGTCCCCAAATCATCCCCAATAGACACTTGGACGTGAGTCTTGAGTTCAAGGGAGGTCTGAGCCTGAGACACAGGTTTGAGTTTGTTCAGTCAGTTGTGGGTTCTCATCGGGACCAAGGAGTGGGTAGGGCCGTCCCAGACTGTACGGTGACCGTGAGACCTTAAACACATCCGAGGGGCAGGAGGCAAAGGACACTGAGAAGGGGCCAGAGATGGGGGTGAAGAGGCAGTGACGAGTGGAGAGCACAGGCGTGGAGGTGTACAGAGGAGAGAGGAGCTGAGGAGAAAGAGGGTGCAGCTCCGGCTGAATGGGAAGCGTGGCTTGAGGCTGGGGAGGCTACAGACCCTGGGGAGGGGCGGTGTGGGAGGGGTGGGGGCCTTAAAAGAAGTTGGAAGCTCAGGAAAGATTTCAGAATTAAAGGGGGGAAAAAAAAGAAGTCCAGAACCTGTAGCTGCACACACAAACAAAAGATTAATAAATAAATAAATAAATAAATAAATAAATAAATAATAAATAAATAAATAAAAAGTTGTAAGCTATGATCGCGCCACTGCACTCCAGCCTGGGTGACAGAACAGTTCCCTGTCTCAAAAATCGAAGCACATAAACAAAAAGCAGCGTGAACAGTTCGGGCGCTGGCCTTGCCCTCCGCGTGCCGCGGCCCCACCGGGACCAAAGGCCGCGTGGCGCCGCAGGAACCGGCGCAGCCACGTCCGCCCCCTCGAAGTCCCCAGTGCGCACGCGCAGAGCGAGTGCATTGTCACGTGCGGCCGGCGCGCGGGGGTGGCCCCGCCCCCGGCCCGGGAGCGGATTGGCTGCGGCGCGCGGCGGCCGGCGAGGGAGCACGCGTGTGCACGCGGCCGCGGGGAGCAGTGGTGCGTCCCGCCCGCCGCCGTGGTCGACCCCAGCCCTGGCTCTCGAGTGCAGCCCCGTCCCCCGGGCCCCGGGCGGGTGGGGGTCGGTGCCCGCGGGCCCTGGCGAGCCCCGCGCCCACGGCCGCTCCGCTCGCAGGCAGCCCGGGCGCGCCGGCAGCCCCGCTCGGATGGAGGTCCTGGACGAGTTCGACAGCGAGTTCCCCCAGAGCGTGACCTTCTGCCAGCTCATCTCCGAGGAGGACTTCGAGAGGCAGGCGGCGACCTACACCGAGCGCGCCCTGCGCCGCCTCTTCCGCAGCCTCGACCGCAACCCGGCGCTGGCGGAGAGGGTGGTGCGCAAGGGCAAGCAGGCCGAGCTGGAACAGCGCGGGCTCGCCTCCTTCCTCTGGGTGCGGCCGCGGGCTCGCGGACGGGAGGGCGGGAGCTGTCCCCACCGCGCTTGCTGTCCCCGGGGCGGGAGCTCTGACGTTTGGAGATTTGGGGGCTGGGTTGGGGGAGGGCGCCGGGCCTAGCAGGGACTGGCAGATGGGGTCTTCCAGAAGCCTGGGGTGCCCAGCCTGGGGAGTGGGGTGAGCGGGCGTCTTACTCCTTGGGCTTCCTCCTGCCCGGTGTCTCCCGCTGTTGTCGCAGGCAAAGTTCTTCAGTGCCGTCCAGGGGGACCTGAACCACTGCAACAGCATGGGCGCCCTAGAGATGCACCAGCGCCTCGAGCAGCTGAAGCGGAGCATCCACCGCGTGCACGTCTACTCCCGAGGTGAGGCTGACCCTGCCCTTGGTGGTCTGAGCCCAGGGTGTCCAGGCCGAAGGCCGTGTGACCGGCTCAGGTCCACTTCAGGTGTCCACACCCCCCTCTTCCTCACAGTCGGGTTTGTCTTCTCAGATTAGGTTCATCCAGAGCAAGACATAGAGTCAGGGCAGGCCAGGACCAGGGAGGAGAGGCGCTGCTCCTAGCTGGATCAGCTGGCTAGGAGATGGGCTTCTGCGCTGTTTCTTCCTGGCTGTGTGGTCCCGAGCAAGGCGGCTCACCTTTCTGAGCCACCCAGCTCTTTACAGCTAACCTTGCAGGGTGATTCGGAGTGGGGGTGAGGAGCTGCAGGCAGTGCCTGGCTCAGGGCCCGCTTGTCTCTGACCCTGTACTTGGCACTTTTTGTAAAAAAAGTTTTTTTTTTTTTTTTGAGACAGTCTCACTCTGTTGCCTGGGCTAGAGCGCTGTGGCATCAGCCTAGCTCACAGCAACTTCAAACTCCTGGGCTCAGGCCATTTCTGCCTCAACCTCCCAAGTAGCTGGGACTACAGGCATGCGCCACCATGCCTGGCTAATTTTTCTCTACATATTTCTAGTTGGCCAATTAATTTCTTTCTATTTATAGTAGAGACGGGGTCTCGCTCTTGCTTGGGATGGTTTCGAATTCCTGACTTTGAGCGACCCTCCTGCCTCAGCCTCCCAGAGTGCTAGGATTACAGGTGTGAGCCACCGCGCCCAGCCAAGAAAAGTTTTTATTATGAAGATAAGCATACACACAAAACTAGTGATGACAGTGAACACCAAAGTACCTGTCATCAGCCTCAGGAACATACCTGTGTTGCCTTGTGTGTTTCACTCTCCATTCCTCCCCCCACCTTTTTCTGGAGTATTTAAAGGGAAATCTCAGACATCATTGTACTTCTGAATAGTGTGTATCATAATTAAAAAAAAAAAAAGATTTTTTGACATAATCACAATGTTATTGTTACACTTGACATAATTAACAATTCCTTAATATTAGCTGAGCCATAGTTGGTCCATAGTCACTGCTTTCTGGTGGTCCACACAAGTCTTTACTTGGTCTGTCACATGAGGACCCAGTGAGGCCCACGTATTGTGTTTGGGTGTTAGGCCTCTTAGGTTCATTTTGCCTAGGGTGCTTGTGAAAATGGAATGCAAGAGAGCTGAGTATGTGACCACACAGGGACAGCAGGTGTGAATTAGGATGGCCCTGGGCAAAGGAGGATCCATGCCACTTCTCTTTTTTTTTTTTTTTTTTTTTTGAGACAGAGTCTCACTTTGTTGCCCAGGCTAGAGTGAGTGCCATGGCATCAGCCTGGCTCACAGCAACCTCTAACTCCTGGGCTCAAGCCATCCTTCTGCCTCAGCCTCCCGAGTAGCTGGGACTACAGGCATGCACCTCAATGCCTGGCTAATTTTTTCTATATTAGTTGGCCAATGAATTTGTTTCTATTTATAGTAGAGACGGGGGTCTCGCTCTTGCTCAGGCTGGTTTCGAACTCCTGACCTCGAGCAATCCGCCGGCCTCGGCCTCCCAGAGTGCTAGGATTACAGGTGTGAGCCACTGTGCCCGGCCTATGCCACTTCTCTTGAAGTCCCCTTTGAGGTGGGATGAGCCCCTGCCACTGCTTTGGAGAACTGTGTCATCCTCAGGGTGCCCAGCATCATGGGGTTCTTCCTGTCATTGCAGTCTGCTGTGGTGGTTGCTTCACCCCCATGCGTGTATTTCTTGGACAGTTCTAAAGCCTTGATTGGATTCAGGCTCGGTGCCTTTGGTATGTTTGTGTTTAGTGACACCTGTGCTGGTGGGGGGCGACTTCCTTCTGCCACACATTGGGAAGCCCAGCCTGCCCGGGGACCCAACCCCTGTGGTGCAGCGTGTGAGCCCTCCACATCACCACTTCATCTGCTTGTTGCACCAACAGCACCTGTCGCCCCCTGAGGTAGCTTCAGTATTATTTATCTGTTTTGCAGAAGAGGAAATAGAGTCACTAGGAGGTTAGTCAACATGCACAAAGTCACATAGTGAGTAGCGGAGGCTGGATGTGGACTCCAGTCTGCGTTGCTCCGGAGCACAGGGTCAGCCTCCAGGCCAGTGCTGCATGGTGGTTATTATTGAGGAGCCTTTGGGATGGGCTGTACAAGTTGCTTGTTAACACCTGCTTGGCTGGCGGTCTCCACCTTAGAACAGTAGAAATAGCCAGACCTGTTGAAACAGGTGAGGGGGTGGCCCCAGGGTCTTGTTCCTCAAAGGTTCCTTGCCCGAGCCCACCTCTGTAAGACCCCCTCACCGTGGGCTTCCTTGTGGAGGAAGTGTCCTGTTGCATGCCCCCTGGGGGTAGTTGGTGGGCTCACTGTCTTGGGCCTGGACACCCCATGCTGGTGTTGGCAGACTGGGCAGCTTTTCACAGTGCTTGGGGGGATGGCAGCAGGCTGACCTGCCCAGGCTAAGCCCAGCCCTCCTTGGCTGTGACATCCCATCGCTTCCCACAAAATTCTGCTCTTAAAGTCAGACAGCCAGATATGGATCCTGCCTATGCCTTGTACAGCCAGAGCCTCTGTTTCCACCGTAAGATGGACACAGGAGTAACCTCTCTGCGTGGGGTTGGCGAGATGGTGCACGCTGGCCCCACCAGCAGTGGCCCTCGGTGTTGTTCGTGGTGCTCCTGCGGAGCCTCCTGCCCTTCCTCGTTGGAGGAACCCTGCGAAGAGCCCCGCACTGCTGTGCTTGGCCCCCACTCTACCCTCTTCTGCCTGCAGAGTAGGCAGTCACTGGCGCCTCTCATCACAGATGCCAAGAAGAGGAGAAGGAAGCTAAAACTGAAGAAACCAGAGCCCATCCTCCTACGGGACCGGTCGACCTCCCCGTGCCTGCCACCAACCCTGCTGCCACCTCCACCGCTGCTGCCACCACCACCTGCCACCACCAAGGCGTCTCTGGGGGCTCCATCACCCCCTGTCTACACCATGCCCAGGGTCTTTGGCCCCTTCCCTCCGCTGCCCAGCAAGTCGGTCAGTGGGAGCGTCCCCTGCTCCAGGCAGTCCCGGGAGCGGCAGCCTCTGTCCCCATGCTCTGAATAATCCCAGTGGCTCTCTTGGGCCCACAGCCACGGTTCTCAGACCTCCGCTTGAGCAGTGGAACACTCTTTGCAGACAGTCTTGGTGGGAAGGAAGTGGATAGAGCAGATAAGAGGGGTTTGGAGCAGGTGTAGTGGCTGTTGCCTGTAGTCCCAGCTGCTTGAGAGGCTCAGGCAGGAGGCTGCTGGGATCTGTGATTGTGTCTCTGTGCTCCAGCCTGGCTAGGGGAACAGAGTGAGACCTCATCTCTTGAAAATAATAATAATAATGAAAAGGGGGGGCTGTCTACTGTGGTTGAAGGGCTGGGTGAGAGTCAAAGGTGGAGAGCCCTACCTTCATGGCCTCAAGCGAACAAGGCAGCCCCAGGTGTGCTGGGCAGAATCCTGGGGTCCCCAGAGGACAGGTGGGAAACCAGGGGCCCCTCCCACATTCTCAACCCCACCCCTGCCCCTCCTCGTGGGTGCCGTTCCCCACTCAGCCTGTCTCCTCCAGGCAGGCCCCCATGCCCGGGCTGGGTTAGGGCTGCCACAGTCAGATCCCAGCCCCTATCCCATCTTCTGTACCCCGAACACCATGCTCAAGGTGGGCGCGGGCCAGGCCAGACGTCCCTGCTGGATGGGTGGAAGTCACATGGTTCTCATGGTTCTGAGAACCATGAGACCGTGAGGTCCCCAGACTTGTCCTGAGATTTCCTTTGTTTCTTGCAGGTGGAGAATGTGGACATTGCAAGGTCTGAAGCGAAATTAAACTGGAATGGCCTGTCGCCGAACCCCAAGAGGTGGAAGGAATTTACTCTGGGCTCGAGGGGAATGGCAAAGGAGCACTTTGGGGAGCGTCCTCTGTGCCCGGCACAGTCACCATGTCCTCCCACCGCTCGGTCGGTGCTCAGGGCAGTCCTGAGTGGTGGTTATCACTTTACAGGGAGGAGTCTGGGCTCAGGCCTGCTGTGTGTGCGAGTCCTTGCGCCGACGTCACGGAACTGCACGTGAGGCTGCGGAGGGCCCAGGCTGACGTCCCCTCTCTGCCCTGTCTTGCAGCTGCATGGTCGACCTGACCCCCTTGGTTCTCAACCCTGGAGGCTTCCATTTCTCGTACTTGGCTGGGAACAGCTCACACAAGCTCCATTGCCCCACCTTCCCCTGGTAAGAGTGCCTCTGTGGCAGCACCGTCCTGCCTCTGCCCCTCCCTGCCTCTGCGGCACCATGGTGGTGTGCACAGGGCTGGAAAAATCTTTGTTGTAAAGCCCCTTCCGCTTCCTGGAATGACCCTAAGGACGTAATGAGGGGTGCAGGGAAAGTAGCGCTCCCTCCCTAGCATTTGTAACCCTGAGAAATCAGAAACAAGCCACCCGAAGGCCCGTGAGGAACGGAATGATGCACCACCTGCGGAGCCGCCCCGTGACTGCAACACGCGTGTGTTTTGCAAAGCAGGGGTTTACTGAACGTGGGTTTTTTAATCCTTGCTTTTTCCATTTGAAATGTTAAGTGTTTCCCCTGTCATTGAATGATTTTAAAGTATGATTTAGACTGGCTGCTTCATTGCATTGTATTGGATGAATGTTTAGAGTTTTAGGTTCACGGCAAAGTTGAACAGAAAGTACAGAGAGACCCCATATATCTCCCCCCGACACACAGCCTCCCCCACTGTCAACATGCCACACCACAGGGGACACGTGTTGCATTTGATGAACCTACATTGGTACATCATAATACTCAGAGTCCATAGTTCACATTAGGGTTCACTCTTGGTCTTGCACATACCGTGGGTTTGGACAAATGTATAATAGCGTGTATCCACCACTGTAGAACCATGCAGAGTAGTGTCGCTGCCCTAAAATCCTCTGTGCTCTGCCTGTTCATCCCTCCTAAACCTTAACCCCTAACTCCTGAGAACCCCTGATCCTTTTACTGTCTCCATACTTTTGCCTTTTCCAAAATTTTATTGGAATCATATAGTATGTCACCTTTTCAGATTGGCTTCTTCCACTTAGTAATATGCATTTAAGTTTCCTCCATGTCTTTTCATGCCTTGATAGCTCATTTCTTCTTAGCCCTGAATAATCCTGAGTGCACAACAGTTTATCCATTCACCTACTGAGGGACATCTTGGTTGCTTCCAAGTTTTGGCCATCATGAATAAAAGCTACTATCAACATCCTTGTGCAGGTTTTTGTGTAGACATAAGTTTTCATCTCATTTGGGTAAACACCAAGGAGCATGTTTGCTGGATCACTGGTAAGTGTATGTTTAGTGTTGGAAGAACCTGCCAAACTGGCTTCCAAAGTGGCTGCATCATTTTGCATCTAGCAATGAATGAGAGTTCAGATACTTTTATGTGAGAAACTCACATGGTTCTTTAAAGATGATTCTAAATTCCCAGGTGAGAGAAAGTTTACCTAAGAGGACATCCAAAGCGTAAGGAAACCTTTAAAAAATGGTTTTGGCTCCTTTAATAAGGAGAGATGTACACACTTGAGACTGCCAGGATGAGCGTCACAGCCGAAGGTAAGAGGGAGCCTGTTCGCGAAGCGCGCTTTAGGCAGAGACGCGTTTTAGCTATGAAATTATCACCAAGTTGGCTTTGTCCTTTTTTAACCCTTTTATTGAGATAACTCACACAGCATACACTCAGCCTATTTATAAGTGCACAATCTGCGTGGCATCTTTTCGTAATTCAATAGTGTGCCAGCCATACCACAATTGAATTTTAGAACCGTTATTCATCCACGACTCAACAAAGAAGACAGAGCTGAACAAGCCAAGCCTCCAGTGGGAGAAAACATTTAAAAATTGACTCAGCAACAAAAAAGCAACCCCATTCTGGGAGGCTGAGGCGGCCGGCATTGCTCCGAGTCAGGAGTTCAAACGCTGAGCAAGAGCGAGACCGCCGTCTCTACTATGAAGTTCTCCACCTTCTGATTAGCGGGTGGTGGGCCCCGCAGACTGTACGTGCCCCGCTACTCGGGCAGGGCTGAGGGCAGGCGGTTGCTTGAGCCAGGGTTTGGGTGCTGTGCGTGCTGACGCGGCACCTAGCCGGGCAACACGCAAAGTGACGACTTCTGTCTCAAAAAAGAAACAAAAAAAAAAAGCAACCCCTTAAGACTGGGGATTAGCCCCCATCTTCTTCAAAGAAGGTATACAAATGGGCCAAAAATAGGCAACAAGATGCCTACATATCATTAGTTGTTAGGAAGATGCTAATGATGAATCAGCGTACGCCACTTCATGTCGCTAGGATGGCTTTGAAGTAAAACAAAGAGCGGGACAATGAATGACAAGCGGTTGATGAACTGTGAGAAATGGACGGCACCTCGGCTCGTCGGTGGCTATGGAATAACTCAATGGTGCAGCTTGTGAAAATCAGCTTCTGTGTTCCTCAAATCTAAACGTAGAGTAATCCTGGCCCGGCACGGCAATTCCACTTCCCTATTGTATACCCAAAAGCCTGAAAGCAGGTACTTGTAGCGTGAATGTTCATACACCATTATCACACGTAACTCCAGGTATGACACACACCCAAAACACGGACGTGAATCCATAATGAATAGAACAGGCCAACGCGTGGTGCCACGACTGTAATGCCTAGCACCTCTAGGCAGCCCAAGGCGCCGGGACGGATCTGCTCGAGGCTCATTCAGGAGTTTGAAGACCAGCCTCAGCAGACGCAGACCCCGTCACTGACTAAAAAAAAACAGAAACAAAAACGAATTAATTGGCCAAATCTATAAAAATTGAGCCGGCATGCGGTGGCGCATCGCCTGTAATGCCCAGCTACTCGGCAGCTGTAGGCCCAGGAGTTTTGAGGATTGGCTGTGAGCTAGGCTGACACACGGCACTCACTCTAGCCTGGGCAACAAAGTGAGACTCTGTCTCAAAAAATAAATAAATAAATAAATAAAATGCGATGTATTCATAGAAATAGTATTCAACCATAAAAAGGAGTGAAGTTCTGACACATGCTGTAATACACAAACCTGGAACACATGCTTTAAATGAAGGATGAGCAGATCAACATAAGGGAATCATGCATGATTCTACTTGCATGAAGTATCTAGAATAGACACATTCATAGAGACAGGAAGTAGATTAGTGGTTACCAAGGGCTAGCAGGGAGAGGCAGATTGAGGAAATTATACTTAAATCGGGTACAGATTTTGGTTCTGGGGTGCATGACAAAAAAGTTTTGGAAAGTAGGCGTACATATCCAACTGTGGATGTAACCTAATGCACTGGAGTTGCATATTAAAAACGGTTAAAATGATAGAATTTCTATGTATTTTGCTGACAATAAAAAGAGAACTCGGCAGTGCTGTAATCGTAGCACTCTGGGGCCGAGGCAGGAGGGATTGCTCATCACGAGTTCGACACAGCCTGGAGCAAGAGCGAGACCCCATCTCTACTTAAATAGAAAGAAATTAATTGGCCAACTAAAAATATATAGAAAAAATTAGCCGGGCATGGTGGGCGATGCCTGTAGTCCCAGCTACTTGGGAGACTGAGGCAGAAGGATCGCTTGAGCCCAGGAGTTTGAGGTTGCTGTGAGCTAGGCTGACGCCATGGCACTCTACCCCAGGCAACAGAGTGAGACTCTGACTCAAAAAAATAGAAACCTCAGCACCCTTTATCTGTCACCTCCTGTTCCTCCATCTCCCAGCCCCTGGCAACTGCTAACCTACTCTCTGTCTTTCTAGCTTTGCCTATTTTGGACATTTCATGTAAATGGAATCAATCATATAATGTATAGTCTTTTGTATCTGACTTGCTTGCATTTAGCATAATGTTGTCAAGTTTCATCCGTGTTGTAGCATGTGTAAGTACTTCATTGCTTTCTATGGTTGAACAATATTCTCTTTGTGTTATTTCATTGTATTCCATGTATTGGATAACATTCCATTGTATTATTAGTTATCAATTCATTAGTTGATTGGTATTTGGGTTGTTTTCATTTTTGGCTAATATGAATACTTAGGAGCTGCCAAACTGTTTTCCAAATGGCTGCATCATTTTACATTACCACTAGCAATGTAGGAAGGTTCCAGTTTCTCCACATCCTCAACACTTGCTATTGTCGGTATTTTTTATTAGAGCCATCCTGGTGGATTTGAAGTATGTCTCATTGTGGTTTTGCATTTCTCTGATAGCTAATAATGTTGAGTATGTTTTCATGTGCCTTGTGATCATTTGTAAATCTTTGGAGAAATGTCTATTCATATCCTTTGTCCATTTCTAAAAATTTAGTTTATCATTGTTGACTCATAATAATAATTATCCTTTGTACATTTCTAAAAAATGGGTTTTTTTATGGTAGATACAGATCTGTTACCAGACATGATTTGCAAATATTTTTCCTATTCTGTGAGTTGTCTTTTCACTTTCTTGTTGGTGTCTTTGAAGCACAAAAGTTTTATTTTTTTGAGGCAAGGTCTCACTCTGTTGCCCAGGCTGGAGTACAGTGGCATGATCATAGCAATCATAGCTCACTGCAGCCTTGAACACCTGAGCTCAAGGGATTCTCATGCCTCAGCCCACACCCAAGTAGCCACTACACCTGGATAACTTTTTTAGTTTTCGTAAAAACAGAATTTGGCTGTGTCGCCCAGGCTGATCTTGAACTCCTGAGCTCAAGTTATCCCTCCCACCTCAAGCCTCTTGAGTAGCTGGAATTACAGGTACCTGCCTCTGTGCCCGGCTTAAGCACAAAAGTTTCCTTTTGAAAGGCATTCTTTTCAAAACATATCAGCCTTCAGAGGTAGCTACAGTCAGAAAAAAAACCAAAAAACCTACAGGAGCCACAGAAGTTCTCAAATTCTTCGACCCAGTGTTTTTAGTCCTGGGAAACTGGCTCCAAGGAAATGATAAGGAAAAAAAATGCCATTTGTATAAAAATGTTTATGGCAACATCGGTTAAAAAGCTTAAAAACTGGAAACAGCTCAAATGTGCATTAACATAATTATAGAATATTATATAGCCATTATAATTATAAAAATGATTAGCACATTGACTGCCATGTGAGTTGTATTTAACTCAGGCTAGTTTTGAGCCTGGGGCCTCATGAAGAAAAACTCTGCAGTTGGTTCTTGAAAATCCTACTTGTTGATGTTCCTATTGTTACAGTTAATATTGACAATTGAATTCTAAAAATGTGGATTGCATTGCATATGACTCATGCACAGAAAACAGTAAAAAATAACAAATCTGAAAGGATCATTTTGTTCTAATAAAACACCGTGGCTCCCAGGGAAAAAATTTTTTTTTCTAATGTTGCAGGCAGTGTGTTAAACACAATTATGCAGATTCATGAATTACATCCAGGTAGAAACCATAAGCTATCAAATCAGATCAGAGGAAGGGTGGACATGGGAGGGGGAGAAGGTGACTGAGTGCTGGGTCACAGAGGAGTTTTTGCAATGTTGTTACAAGGTAAAATTTAAAAGTAAAGCTTTATTGAGCGTCCCTATGTCCTTACAGAACAGTGGAGCCACAGGGTGGGGCTATGGTCATCATTAGGGTGTTTAGATATTTTCTAGCTTTTCCTAGGCATAGTTTTATCAAGTTGTGATTCAATTAGACAATGTCTTTTTTTTTCTTTTTTAAATCTTGCCGTTGTCAGTTAACATTAAGGCGCTGGGGAGTTGAATGCACCCTGGCAGGTTTGACTACAAGCTTCATTGGCTGGGTAGTAACCAACTTGCATATGTGGTACCATGAGTGCTTAACCACTTCGGCCGCGAAGCCGTGCCCACAGCCGGCACTCAGTCCACATGGTGGCTTGTGCTGCGCACTGACGACGCATCCATTTTGCTCTTGTGTCATGAGGAAAGCTTGAAAGCTTGTTTTACTTTACAGGCAGCTTTACTTGTAATGTAAATCAGAATAGGTAACATATACATATCTGTTTTTATTATGTTATTTTTAAATGTTCACAATTTTATTTTGATAAATGAAAAATCAGAAAAGTCATATCACGGCTGTCGGCTAAAGTGGATGTGTGCGTTCATCTGTGGCTATCAACTATAGTCGACACTCGGCTGTGCACATTCATCTGTGGCTGTTGACTATAGTCGATGCTGGCACCTAAGTGGTTAATTCCACTGGGAGACACCGCAGGTGCTTTCCAGTTTTCCCATAGTATAGTGAGTGCTGGGATTAACGTCATTATGTGGAAAGCTGCTCCTGAATTTCAGATGAATGCCCTGAAGTGAGATTATAAAGGAAAGGGTACAGTTAACAAGAGGACCATCTTTTTTCAGATTCTAAAAGCAATATGTTTACCATAGACAACTGAAACCTATATAGAAAAGACAGGCCAAATCACTTACATTCTCACCACCAGAAATAACCACTGCTAGCATTTATCTGTATGTCAGTGTAGGCTTTTTTCCCGTGGACATGTGTATATGTACATGTAGTTTGGTACATAAGTGGGATTGGGAGTGTCCTGTTAGGAAGTTCTGTAGCCAACTCTAGCATGTGAGTTTCTTCCCATGTCACTAAAACTATCTTCGAGTTCACCGATAATAATAGATGCCAAATACTCCATTGTATGGGTGAAACATCATTCTTGCTTGTTGAAATATTTCCCTGGTGGGGACAATTTTTAGGCTCTTAGTTAATTTTGCTTTCAGAGTGAGCTGTACTCTCATGATACTATTGCCAAAAATGGGTTATTTTAAGTTGGTTTTAACAAGTTTACAAAAGCAGAACATATTCCATGGAAAAAAGTTCACAATACAGAAGTAAATATGTAAAATATGAGTCCACTGCTAAGAGTTTCATGTGTACCTTTCCAAATGTTTTGTGTCTATATTTGTCCAATACAAATACACTGGTTAATTTTTTAACCCAAGTTAAGAGCATGTTGCATGTACTTCTCAGCAACTGGCTTTTTGCCATTAATAAACCATTGGGACATCTTTTTCTCTTCTTTTTTTGCTCTTTGCCTTGACATCATTGCTTGTTGGGATATCTCCCTCATTTCTTTAATGAGCTACAGAACAGTCCAGTGCATGGCTACACTGGTTCATTTAGCTGTAATCTCATGGACTCTTGGGTGGTTGTCAGGTTTTTGCAATCACAGATATTGCTGCGATGAACAGCCTTGAACACATATCCATCGGAGACATTTCTGGAAGTAGCAATGTATTGGGAGCCATCCTACAGCCTGGGGTTTTGTCACTTGTACCTATTGTGGCCCTGTGTGTTGGTATCCTACCTCATGGGTATGTCTTGGGTGTCTCCCATGCAGGAACTCGGCTTGTAGTAGCTCCCCCAACGCCGACGAGACTCCAGCCCCTGCTGTGAAGGCCTCCATCTTCTCCCCGCCTGTCCTACTGAAATTCCATCCTGTGCCCAGACCCAAAGACGACTCAGAGAACGACCCTGGCAGCACAGAGTCTGTGACCCACAAGAGGAGCCCATAACCTCTTCCCTACAGACTGTGGCCCAAGGAATGAATAAAGTTCCTGCAGAGGTGCCTACCCTGGGCTGGGAACCCTAGGGTTGTGCAATCCCCTGAGCTCCCTCTGGCCCAAAGAGGTGCTCAGGGTCCTGTTGGCACCATTGAGGTCCCCTCAGTTGCAGTCTACCATGACAGTTCAGTCATGTACACTTTGAAAGAGAAACAGGGTGGGGGAGTGCTCCCTTCCTTTCAGTGACTCTGGAGCCCTCAGGCTCCTCTGGACCCAAGTGAGTTCTAAGTCTAGTGTATTTTTCCTACACCTGGCCCCTAAACACATGGTGGCAACTGATGCACAGGTTTAGAAACCACTGTTTCTAAAGTGGTTTCTAAGTGATCTAGGCCAGGCACTGTGGCTGACGCCTGTAATCCTAGCACTCTGGGAGGCTGAGGTGGGAGGATCACTCAAGGTCAGGAGTTTGAAACCAGCCTGAGCAAGAGCGAGACCCTGTCTCTCCTAAAAAAATAGAAATTAATTGGCCAACTAAAAACATATAGAAAATACCGCATGGGTGGCGCATGCTGTAGTCCAGCTACTCGGGAGGTGAGGCAGAGGATGGCTTGAGCCCAGGATTTGAGGTTGCTGTGAGCTAGGTCGCCGCCGCATCACTTTAGCTGGGCAACAAAGTGAGACTCTGTCTCAAAAAAAAAGCAACCCCTTAAGACTTGGATAGCCATTTCTTCAAAGAAGGTATACAAATGGCCAATAAATAGCAAAAGATGCTCCATATCATTAGTTGTTAGGAAGATGCTAATGAGAATCACGATACCACTTCATGTCGGCTAGGATGGCTTTAATTTAAAAAAGAGGGACAATGAATGACAAGGGTTGATGAAAATGTGGAGAAATTGGAGCACTCGTCGGTGGCTATGGGAATATAAAATGGTGCAGCTGTTGTGAAAATCAGTTCTGTGGTTCCTCAAATGTTAAACGTAGAGTTACCCTGTGACCCAGCAATTCCACTCCTATGTGTATACCCAAAAGACTTGAAAGCAGGTACTTGTACGTGAATGTTCATACACCATTATTCACAGTAACTCCAGGATGGAAACAACCCAAGTGTATCCAAAGTGAATAAACAGGCCAAGCGTTTTTTTGCTGTGTCGCCAGGTGATCTGAACTCTGAGCTTCAAGTTATCTTCCACCTCAAGCTCTTGAGTAAGCTGGAATTACAGGTACTGCTCTGTTCCGCTTAAGCAACAGTTTCCTTTTGAAAGCATTCATTTTCAACATATCGCTTAGGTACTACATAAAACAACAACCAAACTACAGGACGTTACAATTTTCGCAAAGTGTTTTTTACGTTGGGAACTTGGCTCAGCATATAAGGAAATGCTTGTAGTCACATAAAAATGTTTCGGCACACATCGGTTCAAGTTAAACTGGAACAGCTCATTGCATCAATTTAAGTATATCATAGCATTATTATAAAATGATTAGCCATTGAATGCCTGTGAGTTGTTTACTAGGCTGTTTGAGCCTGGGGTCATGAGAAAACTTGCAAGTTGTTTGAAAATCTATTGTTGATGTTCCTATTGTTACCGTTAAATTGACATTGGACATTAAACAAATTGATTGCTTGCATATGATCATGCACACAGAAAACAGTAAAACAATAACAAATTGAAGGATCCATCTTTGTTTAATAAAACGTGGCTCCAGGGAAAATTTTTTTTTACATGTTCAGCAGTGTTGTTAAACACAATTATGCAGATTCATGACAATTATCCAGTGAAACATAGCTATCAAATCAGACAGAGAAGGTGGACATGGGGGGAGAAGTGACTGATGTGGGATGAGGCGTTTTTGCATGTTATAAAAGGTAAAATTATAAAGTTTATTGAGCGTTCATGTCTAAGACCAGATGAGCCACAGGGTGCTTATGGTCATATTAGGGTGTTTAATTTTTCTAGCTTTTCTAGCATATTTTTATACAGTTGTGATTCATGACAATGTCTTTTTTTCTTTTAAATTTGCCGTTGTCAGTTAATAGGCGCTGGGAGTGAATGACTGGCGGTTTGACTACAAGCTTCATTGCTGGTAGTAACAACTTGCATTTTACATGAGTGCTTACTTCGCCCGAAGCCGTGCCAGTGCATCAGTCACATGGTGGGTTGTGTGCGCACTGAGACGCATCTTTTGCTCTTGTGTCATGAGGAAAGCTTACTTGTTTTACTTACAGCAGCTTTACTTGTATGAAATCGAATAGGTACATACATACTTGTTTTTATTATGTTATTAATTATAACATAGATACATTTTTTTATAATGAAAAATCAGAAAAGTATAATACACGACATAGCGGCTAAGTGTGATGTAGCAGATACAACAAACACATGTGGCTATCACTATAGTCGACACTCGGCTGTGCAATTCATCGTGGTGTTGGACTATAGATCATGCTGCACCTAAGTGGTTAATTCCACTGGGAGACCCGAGGAACAATTATACATTATATACCCATATATGGAGTGCTGGGATTAACGTCATTATGTGGAAGTGCTCCTGATTTCAGATGAATCCTGAAGTGAGATTATAAAGGAAGGGTAAGTTAAAAGAGGACCATCTTTTTTCAGATCTAAAAGCATATGTCTACCATAGACAACTGACCTATTAGAAAAGACGGCCAAATCACTTACATTCTCACCACAGAAATAACCACCTGCTAGACTTTAATCTGTATGTCAGTGTAGGCTTTTTCCCGTGACATGTGTATTGTACATTATTGGTAATATGGTGGGAGTGTCCTGTTAGGGTTCTTGTAGCCTATGCTTGGTTTTTCATGTCACTAAATATCTTCGAGTTACCGTAATAATCAGATGCAATACTCTCATTGTATGAACCATTCACTTCTGCTGTTGAAATATCTGTGGGACAATTTTAGCTCTTAGTTAATTTGCTCTTCAGAGTGAGCTGTACATTCTCGATAATTTTGAAATGGTTTATTTAAGTTGGTTTTAACAAGTTTTACAAAGCAGAACATATTATGGAAAAAGTCCCATACAGAAGTATATGTAAAATAGTCCACTTGTAAGAGTTTCCATGTGTAATTTCCAAATGTTTGTGTCTATATTTGTCCAACTACAAATTACACTGGTTTAATTTTTAACCAGTTAAGGCATGTTCTGTAATTCTCAGCAACTGGCTTTTTTGCCATTATAAACCTTGGACATCTTTTTCTCTTTCTTTTTTTGCTCTTCTGCTTTGACATCATTTGCTTGTGGATATCTTCATTTCTTTAACGACTACAGAACAGTCCAGTGCATGGTACACTGTTCATTTAGCTGTAATCTCTGGACTTTGGGTGTTGTCACGGTTTTGCATCACAGTATGTGCGATGAACAGCCTTGAACACATATCCATGGAGATCATCTTTGAAAGAGCAATGTTATTGGGAAGCCATCCTCAAGCCTAGGGTTTGTCACTTGTACTATTGTGGCCCTGTGTGTTGGTATCTACCTATGGGTATGTCTTTGGGTGTCTCATGCAGGAACTCGGCTTGTTAGTAGCTCCCCAAGCGACAGACTCCAGCCTGCTGTGAAGCTCACTCTCTTCTCCGCTGTCTATGAAATTCATCCTGTGCCAGACAAAAAGACGACTCAGAGAGACCTGGAGCAGAGTCTGTTGGACCCACAAACGAGGACCATAACCTCTTCCCTACAGACTGTGGCCCAGAAGAATACAAGTTTCCCTGCAGAGTGCCTACCTGGGCTGGGGAACCTAGGGTTGTGCAATCCCTGAGCTCCCTCTGGCCAAAGGTGTCAGGGTCTGTTGGACCATTGAGTCCTCAGTTCAGTTCATACCATGACAGTTCAGTCAGTACACTTTGAAAGAGACAACAGGTGGGGAGTGCTCCTTCCTTTCAGTGGATCTGGAGCCTCAGGCTCTCTGGACCAAGTGAGTTCAGTCTATGTATTTTTCCTACTGGCCTAAACACATAGGGTGTCAATGAGCCACGGTTTGAAGACCAACTGTTTTCTAAAGTGGTTTCTAAAGTGATCTAGGCCAGGCACTGTGGTGAGACTGTAATCCTAGCACTCTGGGAGGCTGAGGTGGGAGATCACTCAAGGTCAGGAGTTGAACCAGCCTGAGCAAAGCGAGACCCTGTCTCTCCTAAAAAAATAGAAATTAATTGGCCAACTAAAAACATATAGAAAAAATTAGCTGGGGCCGGGCGCAGGTGGTTCCGCCTGTAATCTAGCTCATGGGAGGCTGAGGCGGCGATGTTCGAGGTCAGGAGTTCAAAACCAGTTCTGAGCAAGAGCGAGACCCACTCTACTATAAATGAAGAAAATTAATGCCACTAATATATATAGAAATCAGCCGGGCATGGTGGCGCATGCCTGTAGTCCAGATACTCGGGAGGCTGAGGCAGAAGGATGGCTTGAGCCCAGGAGTTTGAGGTTGCTGTGAGCTAGGCTGACGACGGCACTCACTCTAGCCTGGGCAACAAAGTGAGACTCTGTCTCAAAAAAAAAGAAAGAAAAAAAATTGGCCGGGCATGGTGGCGCATGCTGTAGTCCCGTTACTGGGGAGGCTGAGCAGGATGATCGGTTGAGCCAGGAGTTGAGGTT